TGTCCTGGAGGAAGTGCAGCCAGAATGCTCCTTGGAAGCAAGAATGGCCAGACTTCGTCTCACCTATTTTGGTCATGTTGTAAGAAGGGACCATTCCCTAGAGAAGGATGTCATGCTTGGTAGGGTGGAGGGTCGACGAAAGAGGGGGAGGCCTTTAACGAGATGGATTGATATGGTGGCTGTGATGATGGGCTCAAGTATAGCAGGGATTTTGGGGCTGGCACGGGATTGGGCATTGTTTCATTCTGCTGTGCATGGGGTCGCTATGAGTCAGAAACGACTCGACGGCACTTAACAACAACAACAACACTTGGAAGTATTCAAACCATCCGTGCCATCAGAAAAGCTGTCAGTCCACAGTTCCCTTTGTCTCCTTAGTCACTGTTTTCCTTCAGGTTCTTCTACTAATTGGTGTTTAATTCACTTCTGTATCCTTCCTTTCAATGCTCAGGGCTCCAGGATTATCTTCTGTATCTGTGTCAACTGGTTTCTCTTTTCTTTGTTAAAGAGGGTCTGTGTAACTTGTTTGCCTATTCTGCCATCTTACTGGAAGTCCACTGAAGGTGTCTGGAGCTCATCTCAGCATTGAGAACACTGAGGAACAGGCGAGACAGTGGTTAAAAGAGATTAAAAAACGAGATAGGTGTATACTTCAAGTAAAGTTGACTTACTTGGAAATCTTTATTGGGGTCAGCTAAACTGTTGGGCCCCTTAAAAAGCATTTTATGCATCTTTAATGCATATATAATGTCTCAGACTTCTAGTAGCACTGTGTCAGCTATGATGAATTTAACAATGCTAATTTATGACAAGAGAGCTCTGGTGGCATAGTGCCTAAAGCATTTCATTGCTAATCAGAAGGCTGGCAGTTCAAACCTACCAACCACTCCTCAGAAGGAAGACTGGGCAATCTACTTCCATAGAAATACTGCCTCAGAAACCCAAGGAAGGATCAATGTGGGTCAGAATCAACTCAATGGCAGTGAGTTTGGTTTGTTTGGTGTTTTTAATTTATGACAAAGGAGCTCTGGTGATGCAGTGCTTAAGGAACTTGGCTGCTAACCAGAAGTTTCATGGTTCAGACCCACTAGCTGGTCTGGAAGTAAGATGTGGCAATCTACTTCCATAAAGATTTACTACCTCAGAAATCCAGTGGGGGTCGCTATGATTCGGAATCAACTCAATGGCTGAGTTTGGTTTTGAGTTAATTTATGACAGCAAGTACCATTTGATATTTTACAATACTTTCTTAAATTACATTACTTAATCTTTACAAAAGTTCTGCTTTTACCAGTGAAGAAACTGAGGTTTAGACAAATTCAGTGATTTACCCAATGTTTTAGGATTTTTTTTTTAAAAGCAAACTATATCTGCTTCCCCAAATTCAAGGTTAAAGTTTAAATTTAACTTACCTGATACTTTTTTCTAGCTACATAAAGGATTAGGTAATATTAACCTCCTTTGTGGATTTTCTGGGTTTCATAAAACAAGGAAGGATTACATACATTTTGTCATTTAAGCAGCAAGGCAGAGATAATAAGGAAACCATATTCCATATTAGTATAAAAGAAACTATTTATGTAAAACAAAGTATATACTTCCTTGTCCACAATCTCCAAAAAGAATTATGAATCTTATATGTTAATTTGTTGAAGCATCTACTACAATGCATAAACTGGGTAATTTATCATGGAGGTCTCCTAAGCAAGCCACAGCTAGATTTTCTATAGCAGGTGTACATTTAGAGAAGTTGTGTGTTAGCTGCTATTGAGTTGGCTTCAACTCATGGTGGCCCCATGTACAACAGAACAAAACGTTGTCTGCTTCTGTTCAATCTTCACAATGCTTGGTATGCTCAAGTCCATTTTTGTATATTTTGAGTGCCATTAGGGCTCATTTTCTAGTAGTATATAGGAGCTCTGGTACCATAGTGCCTAAGGCACTTGACTGCTAACCAGAAGGCTGGCAGTTCAAACCCACCAGCCACTCCTCGGAAGGAAGGTTGGGCAATCTACTTCCATAGTGATACTGCCTCGGAAACCCAAGGAGGGGTCGCTATGAGTCGGGTCCAACATGACGGCACATAACAACAACAACATATTGACAGTATTCTGTTGTGATCTATAGGGTTATTATCATTGGCTAATTTGGGAAGTAGACTTCCAGTCCTTTCTTCCTAGTCTGTCTTAGTCTAGAAACCAAAACAGTCAACCCTGTTGCCAATGAGTTGACTCTAACTCGTGAGGACCCCATATGTTACAGAGTAGAACTGCTCCATAGTCTTTCTTGGCTATGATCTTTATAGAAGCAGATCTCCAGAGTCTTAATCTAGAAGCTCTGCTGAAACGTATCCACCATGGGTGACCTGCTGGTATTTGAAATACTAGAGGTATCGCTTCCAGCATCATAACATGTAAGCTACCACAGAACAACAATTGACAGATGGGTGGTTGGTTTGATGAAATTAGTTTGTAGATTTAGAACTAGCTTAGGGAATGCCAAGTATATTACAAGAGTTTAGCATGAGAGAATTTGGTATCATGTTGCCTGAGCTTTAGATACAAATAATTTAATTTAGAAATAATTCCCACTCACAGTGTTATACTTTCTCTCTCCTTCGCAATTTTCAGTAGAGACAATGAGACAGACCTCAATAGCAAATACTGTGATTGCTAGAAAGAGTCACAAATCTAGTGGTATAAGACTAGTTGAGTTTGTTTCTTTACAACTACCTCTTTCTTTTTGGTAATTCCTATTTCCTACATTCCCATATATCTTTGCCTTTTCTGAGTGGTGATGGCCTAAAGAAGTCCAGGCTTTGGGAGATCTGGTTAGATTCCTGCTCTTCATTGAATCCCACTATGGATTTTTGTTTTGTTTGTTTTTTCCCAGTGTTCCTTTCACCAATACCCTCCCTTTCTTACCCTAGCCAGCACTCAGACAGCAGTTCTTCAAACCACATAGAGCATCCCTGCTTCTGTTACCTGCCTATTTTAGCAACTTTTGATGGAAATGGGAGCCAGTGGTAGAATTTTAGTATAAAAGCACAGGAAGACTGCTGGTCAATCTTCAGAATTCACTGAGTCTAATCACTAGTCATAAACCTGCTTCTCATTTTTCCTTTCTTGCTGTTCCTTTTTGGCCATGTCAGAATTGAGAAGTATATATGCTCATTCTCAGCAAACAAGAGAAGAGAAAGAAATTTATTTTGCTGTATGTCTTTAGTCATCTAATAACACTGAAGTAAAAACAATGAGAAAAGTCTGAAACAAAAAACCAAAGTAATGATAGGTGGCTTCTCTCTGTCCTCTGGGTTATGTAAGCATTACTTTTAATCAACCATATAGTAATATTTATCAATCTTTTGATGAAAAAGTTTTGAGATATAATATAGCTTTTTATTATATAGACCCTTATCATAAGACCCACATGTTTCAGATATTTAACTGCTTTTGATTTTTAAATCTCAAATATGTTGTTTTCATGAGAAAGCTATATGTTGTCACATAGTGAGGATGCTCTCCTTGTCTTCCCCATCCACATGTCTAACATGATGCCCATTATATCATGCTGGCATCTCTTTTAATATATAGTTTTTGGAAGGGATGCCACTAACATTTAAATATTACTGAAAAAGTCTGACATAATAAAACTAAAGTCTTCTAATTTTGATTTCAGAATTGGCCACAACCAATAGATACTTGACCATGAAAATGGAATCATCACAAGATAATGTCCCCCTGTTATAGATTACAAACTCAGTTTCATGTGTTAGGGAGCCCTTAGCAGATTACAATTAATTCAGTAAGGATCGCCATTTTAAGTATCACCCTAGTTAAACAGTAAAGCTTACTTAACAGTTCAGATAAAGAATTTCTCACTTGAGTTCATTAAATAAATTCAGAATTTTACAGAGGAGGTTAACTCAAGGAAAGTGTATTATGAAAGGGGTTGTTGTCAGTACTCACATGACACACTGCTTTGTTATGAAATAATGTATTAAAGAATATAGGACAATAGACAAGATAGTGTTTAATGGTTAGTAGTTTTGCATAGCAAATAATTTATTTTCCTAATGTTTGACAGGGCCGCGTCAGTTGTACTGGACGGCTAATGGTACAGGCTGTCAACCAAAGAGGCCGCAGTCCCCGTTCTCCCTCAGGCCATCCTCATGTCAGAAGGTACTTCATACGTTTCCTTCTCACAGGTGAAACTATAAAATCCAGCACTATTAGAATTGTAGTGTGACCACAAAAGTGAATGTAGTTTTAAGACTGAATATGAATACAAACTTGAAATGTGTGGCTCCTTGGTAATAATTCTCCTTCAGGATTCAGAAATGAGGATGAACAAATATTTGCTAATGTGTGCTAGGCCTGTTCAGATACATTATCATTAATTTGTTAAATGGGACACATTTTATATGTGAAGAAATCAAGACTCAGAATGTTTAAAGAGCACGTTAACATGAAAACCCTAGTAAAATGGTACACAGGTGTTCAAAACTAAATTTCTCTAACCAACAACTGTATGGGTTGACCATTATAAGCAATTGCCATTGGACTTCTTAAAATCAGCTGGTTTATTATTATTCCTTTTTAAATTAGTTTATTTCAAAAGAGTTTATTTTAGACCAAAACCTTAAGGCAAGATTTGCCATGTTTTAAATACACAAACAAATGTCTGGCAGCAATAGTGTGTGATTTCTATTCTTCGTAGCAATACAACATTTATTCAACGATGCTTATGGACTAATGGTAGGCAGGGACAGGGAGAGGATATTACTTCTTAGTAACATATATACACTTTTGAAAGAATATGGTAAGTCAAGTAGCCTGTCAATTTAGGGTCTTATGTACATATTTTCGAGACAGAGCACTCTCAAATACTGCTGGCTAGAAAGTACCAGGCCATAGATCCATACATTTTTGATGCAAAAATAAAGGGTGAACAAGAAACACTGAGTAAGCATCAAACCAGTGGTGTATCTATTGCCTCATGTGACTAGATCCATTGAACCATTTGTCTAACATTTGAAAGACACTTCTGGCACTTGACCATGTCCAAATTTAATTCTAACTTTACCATGGCAATATCTGTTCACAGGAAAGCCTGAATGTATGGCTGTAAACTCAACACATTTAGTCTCAAGTCCCACCAGTCATCTGTCAGTTTGTCATACTGTGGTGGCTTACTTGTTGCTGTGATGCTGGAAGCTATGCCACCAGTATATCAAATACCAGCAGGGTCACCCATGGTGAACAGGTTTCAGCAGAGCTTTTAGACTAAGGCAGACTAAAGAAAAAGGACATGGCTAGGTCCACTTTTAAAAAAATTGGCCACTGAAAACCTTATGAATAGCAAGGAAACACTGCTGACATGGTGCCAGAAGATGAGCCACTCAGGTTGGAAGGCATTCAAAATAAAACTGGGGTAGACCTGCCTCCTCAAAGTAGAGTTGGCTTTAATGACGTGGATGGAGTATGACTTCCAGGACCTTCTTTGCTGATGTGGCATGACTCCAAATGAGAAGAAACAGCTGCAAATATCCATTAGTAATCAGAATGTGGAATATACAAAGTATGAAATTAGGAAAAGTGGAAATTGTCAAAAATGAATTGGAATGCATAAAAATTGATATCCTAGGCATTAGTGAGCTGAAATGGACTGGTATTGGCCATTTGGAATCAGACAGTCATGGTCTACTATGTCAGGAATGACAAATTAAACAGGAATGACATCACATTCATCATCAAAAAGAACATTTTAAGATCTATTCTGAAGGATAATGCTGTCAGTGATAGGATAATAACAATACATTTACAAGGAAGATCAGTTATTATTACTATTATTCAAAGTTATACACCAACCACTAAAGATAAAGAAACTAAAGACTTTTGCCAAATTCTGCAGTCTAAAATTGACCAAACATGCAGTTAAGACATACTGATAATTACTGGTGATTGGAGTACAAAAGTTGGAAACAAGGAAGAAGCACCAATACTTGGAAAATATAGCCTTGGTGATAGAAATTATGCCAGAGATCACATGATAGAATTTTGCCAGACCAACAACTTACTGCAAATACCTTTTTTCAACTACGTAAATGGCAACTATACACATGGACCTCACCAGATGGAATACCCAGGAATCAAGTCAACTACATCTGTGGAAAGAGACCATAAAGAAGCTCAGTATCATCAGTCAGCACAAGGCCAGGGCCCAACTGCAGTAGACCATCAGTTGCTCATAAGCCAGTTGAAATTGAAGCTGAAGAAAATTAAAACAAGTCCACAAGAGACAAAATACAATCTTGAGTATATCCTACCTGAATTTAAAGACTATCTCAAGAATAGATTTAATGCATTGAACAGCAATGACCAAAGACCAAATGAGTTGTAGGATGGTATCAAGGATTTCACACACAAAGAAAGCAAATGGATATCAGAAGAGACTCTGAAACTTGCTCTTGAATGGAGAGTAGCTAAAGCAAATGGAAGAATTAATGAAGTAACAGAACTGAGCAGAAGATTTCAGAGGGCAGCTAGAGAAACAAAGTATTATAAAGAAATATGCAAAGACCTGGAGTTAGAAAATCAGAAGGGAAGAACATGTTCAGGATTTCTCAAGATGAAAGAACTGAAGAAATAATTCAAGGTTTGAGTTGCAATACTGAAGTATTCTACAGGCAATACATTGAACGATGCAGGAAGCATCAAAAGAAAATGGAAGGAATAAACAGGGTATTTCTGTACCAAAAAGAAGTGGTCTACACTTGACCATTTCAGGAGGTAGAATATAATCAAGAACTGATGGTATTGAACGAAGAAGTCTGCAATGTAGTAAATTACATAGTGTGGCTTTTCTAACCGTTAAGTCTTTGAAAACTCCATGGTGGAATTTGCCATGAGCAACTGAGTAGCTCCTGATTGTTATAGCACCTGGGGTATTTCTGTTGGAAGCAGCACAAAGTAATTTTCTGGGAAGTTCACTCACTCAGGTGTATAGAATTCTGATGTTGGGATTGGTTAGTTTGCCACTCTGCCAGGCTCAGAAGGAGCCCTCCTAGAGGCAGAAGAAATCTCTCACTGCTGGCTTAGGGACATGAGAGACACACATTGCTGAGAAAGAGACACACAATGCTGAAAAAGACACCAAGAGACAAGCACTGCTGTGAGAGAGACTGACGGCTGAGAAATGGCAGGCTAAGAGAGACTGAGTGTGTTCCTGAACTTGAATTGTAGCCTGGTGCTTCCCTAATAAACCCCATAATCTGTGAGTTCTGTGTGGCCACTGCAGTGAATTATCAAACCCAGCAGAGAGGTAGTGGGTGCTGAAAGAGGAACAGTTAGTGTCAGGGTTGGTGAAAGGGATGGAGGGAGGTGGTATGTCTGGCCTCACAGGAATAGGCCTTGGGCTACTGATGGTGATTCTGTCTTCCTCTTGTGGGGTTAGAGGAGATCAGGAAATGTGGCCTCCTTGCCCCTTTGGCAAAGTCCAAGCTGCACTAAAGGAATTAGTGAAAAACAAAGCTCCAGGAATTGGCAGAATGGTCATTGAGATATTCAGCAAATGGATACAGCACTGGAGTCACTCACTTGTTTATGCCAGGAAATTTGGAAGACAGCTACCTGGCCAACTGACTGGAAAAAAATCCTTATTTATGCCTATTCCAAAGAAAGATGATCCACAGAATGTAGAAATTATCAAACAACATCATAAATATCACACACAAGTAAAATTTTGCTGAAGATATTTTTAAAATGATTACAGCAGTATATTGACAAGGAATTGCCAGAAATTCAAGCTGAATTCAGAAGAGGGTGTGGAACAAAGGATATCATTGCTAATGTCAGATGGATCTTGGCTGAAAGCAAAGAACACCAGAAAGATGTTTACTTGTGTTTTATTGACTACACAAATGTATTTGACTGTATAGATCTGTGGTGCTTAAGTGTGTTAACTTGGCTGGGCCTGGCTGAGTGGCTGGGCAGCTGAATGTACTATTCCCCATGATGAGACTTGTAATAAACTTCATGGTGGAATCTACTGTGAGCAGCTGAGTAGCTGCCTTAGGGATGTGGTCAGCTTCCTATATAAGGAAAAGCCTTGGGGAACAGAAACTAGCTTATGGCATGATTGAACCCTGCATGTAGCCGAGTCGTTGTTCAGCAGCCTGCCATGCTCTGCTGATCCTGGGACTTTCAATGGACTTGAATCAATGGCCTGCCATGTTGTTTGGTAACATAGGGACTGTGTCATTTTATTTGTCAATCTTGGGCTTGTTAGCCTCAGCAGCCAGTAGCTGCCTGAGTGAAGAGATGCTTCTAGCTTCATTGGGCCAGGAGCAAGAGGCAGAGCTGAATTCCAAGGTTGAGAGGCTTTCACACAGCCCCTAGAGCCTGGCACCTTGAACTCAGACTTAAAGCCTCCAAACTGTAAGAGAATAAACTCCTGTTTGTTAAGGCCATTCCATTTGTGGTATATTCCTGTCAGAGTGGCACTAGGTAACCAGAACAAGATCATAACAAATTATGTTATGAATAACATTGTGAAGAATGGGAATTCCAGAACACTTACTTGTGCTCATGCAGAACCTGTACATAGACCAAGAGGCGGTTGTTCAAACAGAACAAGGGGACTGCTTGGTTTAAAACCAGGAAGGGTGTGTGTCAGGGTTGTATACTTTTACCTTACTTATTTTATGTGTATGCTAAGCAGATAATCCGGGAAGCTAGACTATATGAAGAAGAATGTGGCATCAGGATTGGAGGAAGACTCATTAACAGCCTACAATATGCAAATGTCACACACTTGTTGGCTGAAAGTGAAGAAGACTTGAAGCACTTACTAATGAAGATCAAAGACTACAGTTTTCAGTATGGATTACACCTCAGCATAAAACAAAAATCCTCACAACTGAACTAATAAGCAGCATCATTATACAAGGATAAAAGATTGAAGTTGTCAAGGATGTCATTTTACATGGATCCACAGTCAACACCATCGGAAGCAGTAGTCAATAAATAAAATGACATATTGCACTGGGCAATTCTGCAAAAGACCTCTTTAAAGTGTTAAAGAGCAAAGATGGCACTTTGAAGACTAAGGTGCACCTAACCCAAGCCAGGGTCTTTTCAAAGGCTTCATATGCATGTGAGAACTGGTCAACGAATAAAGAAGACCGTAGATGAACTGCTGCATTTGAATTTTGGTGTTAATGAAAAATATTGAATATACCATGGACTGCTAGAAGAACTAACAAAAATCTATCTCTGAGGAAGTTCAGCCCGAATGTTCCTTAGAAGCAAGAATGGCCAGATTTCGTCTCTTGTACATTGGTCATGTTGTCAGAAAGGACCAATCTCAGGAGAAGGATATCTTGCTTGGTAATGTAGAGGGTCAGCAAAAAAGGGGAAGACCCTCAATGAGATGGATTGACACAGTGGCACGGCAGCCATTGTGAGGATGGTGCAGAACCAGGCCATGTTTTGTTCCATGGTACCTGGGGTCGCTATTAGTCAAAACCAACCCGATGGCAACTGACAACAATATGAAGTACATTCTTTTGCATTATTCTCCTCTACTTTTTTTTGTAGATTTCAATACATTTAAACTTTTCTGTATGTCTGTGCTCATAAAAAAGCAATTTTATTAAAATTAGATTTGTAGTTGGCGAAGAGTAAACTATGTAAACAAGCTTATAATTATCAGCTTATTATACTAATCTTTCATTTGGTCCACTATTGCTAGTTAAGTGCTTTCTTTCAAACTAAAAATATTCCCTGAAGTCTTCTTAAAACCAAACAGTAGTTTGGCTTAACTGGTGAAAAATATCTGCCTTGTGTATTATGCTCTGTTAAGAACTATCTATGTGGGATCAAATTGACAACAGCAACTCCAAAGATTAGATAGAAACCTTAGGGGGCGGTGAGTTTTTGTTAATGGGGGAGGAACAACTCAAGAAAGTGGGGTGAGAATGGTTTAGCAGTCCATGGTACTTTCAGCATTTTTCGCCAACTTTTCGTATAGCTTTAAAAATATTTATTTAGGAAAAAATTGTTTTACCTATGGAAAACATAAATATCCCATTTTATCCTCTATTTTCCCATTTCCCCTTCTATGATTTAGACTAGCTTTAAAAACTAGGATAGCAGAGTTGTTTTAAAATCTGCAATTAGTAGACTATTAAATTTATAAGCTAAATAAAATAAGCATTTGCTTTTCTAATTTATTTATGCATTTCAATAAACCTTAAAGGAAATTTCCTTCAGATAAGGAAATTATATTATTATCTATTTATCTTAAGAAAAAGAGCCCTGGTGGCACAGGGGTTAAAGTATTCAGCTGCTAACCGAAATGTCAGTGGTTTGAACCCACCAGCTGCTCCATAGTAGGAAGATGTGGCAGCCTCCTTCTGTAAAGATTACAGCCTTGGAAACCCTATGGGGCAGTTCTCTGTCCTACAGGGTTGCTATGAGTTGGAACTGACTTGATGGCCAAAAACAAAAACCCACTGCCACCAAGTATATTCCAACTCGTAGTGACCCTATTGGACAGTATAGAACTGTCCCGTACGGTTTCCAAGGCCGAAATTCTTTAAAGAAGCAGACTGCCTCATCTTTTTGCCCCAGAGTGGATGGTAGGTTCAAACCACTAGCCTTTTTGGTTAGCAGCTGAATGTCTTAACCACCACAAGAGCTCCTCAACTTGAAAGCAGTGGGTATTTATTGTAAGAAAACCCACTAGCACACTGCCATCAAGTCAGTCCTGACTCCCAGCAACCCCCATCAGGTTTCCAAGGCTATAAATCTTTATGGGTGTAAATTGCCTCACCTTCCTCCCGTGGAGCAGCTGGTAGGTTTGAGCCACCTACCTTTTGGTTAGCAGCCCGATTCCTTAACTGCAGTGCCACCAGAGCTACTTATTGTAAGAAAAGAGATGACTAAAAGCCTGCCAGTAACTTATTTATCAATCTTCCCTATCTTCCTATCTTGTTTTAAGGCCTCGTTCCAGATCAAGAGATAGTGGAGATGAAAATGAGCCCATTCAGGAGCGATTCTTCAGACCTCACTTCGTACAGGCTCCTGGAGATCTGACTGTTCAAGAAGGAAAACTCTGCAGAATGGATTGCAAAGTAAGAATTTGTTTTTGTCTGCTAGTCTGTCACCTCACTTCTCCCTTCATTGCCATTTCTCTACAGTTTCTTTTGGAGAAATCATACAAAGCATTAACTCACTGCCGTGGAGTCGGATCCGACTCATAGCAACTCCTCCTTGGGTTTCCGAGGCAGTATCACTACGTAAGTAGATTGTCCAACCTTCCTTCCACAGAGTGGCTGGTGGGTTTGAACAGCCAGCCTTTTGGTTAGCAGTCAAATGCCTTAGACACTACCCCACGAGAGCTTCCAATACAAAGCATACAGCTTTAAAATGGCACGCAGCTAAATAGAACAACAAAAAAAAAGCTATATTGGATGTGTATATGCTTTTTTCCATCACTTTTTTCCTTTCATGCTTTTATTACATGTGTTCTTTTCTGAGAACCCTATATACCATACTCCAGAATGCTACTGGGATATTTATGTTTTCCATCTTGTTGAAGTCATAAATTTGATGAATCTGCATCTGTCCTAGTTATTAATTACTTGTTCTTTTCTCATATAAATTGTATCTTCACTTTTATTCCTTCCATTTTCTATTTCTGAGAAAAGTTACAGTGACACTCTTCTTTCACATGTTCACAGCAGGGCTTTGACCCTGTTGTTTTACACATATTACCCAGGGCCCCAGGGTAGACATGCTTCCTTAGATGTGTGAACTCTGAAATTGCATAGAAAATTACAGATGTGATATAGCTTTCATCAGTTACTCAAAAGGGCTCAAGGCCAAAGATAAGAACCACTTCTTGGAAGCTTTATTATTATTATTATTTGTTTTGTTTTGTGCCCCACTATTTAATGAGTTTGGGAGTCACTGGTAGTGTAGTACCTCTGGCATTTGACTGCTAACCAGAAGGCTGGCGGTTCAAATCTACCAGCCACTCCTTGGAAGGAAGGTTGGACAATCTACTTCTGTAGTGATACTGCCTCAGACACCCAAGGAGGGGTCACTATGAGTCAGGTCTGACTCGACAGCACATAACAACAACAAAGATATTTAATGAGTTTAAGTTTAAAGACTCGTAAATATGGATAAAGTTTTTAAAAATTATTTGGGCTCCCTCTGCTGGTGTTCCCTGGGTCTTGCAGAACACTGATGTAAGTGACTCTGTGTTAGGTGAAAATACAGAGGATTTGGGCATATTTGTTTTTTAAGCATGTAAGTCTGGGCTTTTGAATTAAGTAGAAACATAAACATTGGTAATCTTAACAAAAATATTTTCTTTTCCATCGTTGTTCTTTTTATGGTGTAAATATACAAATTAAGTTTCAGTGTGTGTATATTTATATCTGAAGGTATTCACTTCATTTTCAGAGTATAATTAAGCATTCATACAGATCAACTATAAAATCACATTTTGAGATGTCTTGGGAAATCCATTTAAATAACTTATTGGGTGATACCAAGGGGTTATTGTTAATTTTATGTACAAAAATGGTATTGCGTTTATATAAGAAAGATATTTTTTAGAAGTACATACAGAGCTATATAGAGTCAAAATTACATGGAGTCTGGAATTGGATTTTTTTTTTTCCAAATATAAAAAAAAATGACAAAATAGTCCATTTGGATGATGAGTATATGGACAGTCACTGTACTATTCTATTTTTGATCATGTTTTAAAAAGAAATCAAGTATTGTATTTTACTGCACAGTGACAATCCTGGCCTTGAAATACTTACCTTTAAAAGAATATTGGAAACAAGCAACATCTCTGCTTGCTAATTTGTGATCGGACCTAGATAAGTAAAATGTGGAAAACCTTCACCTACAAACAGATAGAGTGTAAACCTACCCTAAGAAAAAAAGGTTGTCAGTGTATTTAAGTTTTGAGAGAAAAAAAACAATCTTGAAAATAAGCCAAATATTACAGCAACATCTTGCTTTTCCCCAAGAGTTAGGGAACTCATATTTCATCTTTTTTTAAAAAAAAACCCTTTGGAATATTTCTAGAAACTGACTACCTTTAATTTGGTGCTGATTCTTCCTGTAGACTAACAAGAATGTTCGTCCCCCTCCCCGACTCTATTCCCATGTCAGCAGAGAACACAGATCTATTCAAATTATGACCTTCTAATGCCCTTCAGCTCCTGAGATCCTACTTTCTTTAGTAAGGCTGGGGAATTAAAAAGAGATATCAAAAAAAAAAAAAAAAAAAAACCCTGCTGTCGAGTCACACCCGACTCAGCAACCCCTCCTTGGGTTTCCGAGGCAGTATCACTATGGAAGTAGGATTGCCCAACCTTCCTTCTGAGGAGTGGCTGGTGGGTTTGAACCACCAACCTTCTGGTTAGCAGTCAAATGCCTTAGGCACTGTGCCACCAGAGCTCCCAAAAGGGGTATAAGGATAGGGAATTTTTCCTTTGCTTTAATAGGAACAACTGTGTCCACCGTAATAGGTAGTGTGTATGTGAATAGGGTAGTGTGAGTGTGCAGAGTGCTTTGGGCATTTCCCCTACTAAGCATGCAGTGGCCTCAGTCAGTAGATGGCTCTGTTTGTCTAGATCTATCCTAGTAAGGTGGCAACACACAATCCTACTTTATTTCCAAACTTGGGAAAGGCCTGGAGCATGACCACAATAGTATCTCCTCTATACCACCTCCAACAACCATCACAGGTAAAGTAGTGTTCATGGAAAACTGGGGGAGAACAGGAAGACGGATGAAGAACATGGAGTCTGACCCCTCTCCTAAGCCAGGCGTACTTTTTCCCGTTCAGAATCCAAAGCAAAACCATGAAGAGCTGACAGATGGCAACCACCACTACCCTTCACAGCACAAAGTGTTATTAGCAATTAAATGTGCTTTTATCTGATCTCTGGTCAACACAACTGGCATGGTCTCCAGATTTTATGATGTTTCCATTGTGATGCTAATTTATTGAGATGGCTTTCTGGGAAATTGCAAATTGTTCATGCTACTCAGTTTCAATGATTATAAAATGATAATAATAGCTCTATGTGCTGAGTCTCCGAAGCTATGGCAACTCCTTGATGACAAGCTTTATAATATATAAATGCCAAGTGAGTATTTGTTATTGTTGTTATGGTTGGACAGCTTTTTTCCAAAGCACTTAGAACCCTGTGCTGACATCATCCTGGTTTTTACAGCCTTAGGTGATATAAGATGAGGACAGACTTTATATATATATATATATATATATATATCCCCATTGCACTTGCCTCTAAGTTGCTTTATGAGCAATGTTTAGTTGTGAGCCTGTAAGTGTGTAGGAAGCAATTGAAAAGTTTTAAGCAAAAGAATAACATGAGCTAATACCAAAAGCCATCTCCTGTACTACTGAAGGAAGAATGTCTGCTGTTTTCTTAGCTATTAATGATTTCACACTTTGTTAATAGTAAAGAAATTTATACACATTTCTATTCTGATTTAGGTCAGTGGGTTACCAACCCCAGATCTAAGCTGGCAGCTAGATGGAAAGCCCGTGCGCCCCGACAGTGCTCACAAAATGCTTGTGCGTGAGAATGGGGTGCACTCTCTGATCATAGAGCCAGTCACCTCACGAGATGCCGGCATCTACACTTGTATAGCCACCAACCGAGCAGGACAGAATTCATTCAGCCTGGAGCTTGTGGTTGCAGGTAGGCACCTCTACAAATCTTTTCTTTGTCCAAAATTGAACATCAGATTTAGAAATGCAAAATAATACTACATTATTCAAACTATAAAAATCAAATTGCTGAAAAAATAGATTGAATCATCAAAATGGCCGATTAGAACATGTTATAAGGCTTTAGCAATTAAGTGCTCAGCTGCTAACTGAAAGATCAGTGCTTGGAATCCAGCCAGTGGCTCCACGAGAGGAAGACCTGGAGATGTGCTGCTATAAAGATTACAGCCCGGAAAGTCCTATTAGGCAGTTGTACTTTGTCATATAGTGGCACCTAACAACTCACCTAACAACTCAGTGGCACCTAACAACAATAATAACATAAGGCTTTAGCAAGTCAGAAACGTTAATTTTTCTTACTTCAGTATAGCCATTCTTACTTATCTTTCTTTTCTCCCATTAACCAGACCAAGAAAGAGAAGAATATTAGCAGCTTTCCTGGTCATTCAGTTCATCACGTGTGCAGTGATTCCCTAATGTCATGTAGAGAAAGAACAACAGTAGTGGGCTTTGAGAACCAAACTTCATGCATAAGAATGTGTGCATACATATATACACATATATCCCTAGGCTTAAAGTGATGTAATGTGCAGCGATTTCAAAATTCAAAAATTTTAAATATGACCATCTACTCTCAATGTCACTTAAATTCAGATTTGCTTTTTAATTGATTATACTGTAGATTAATTCTATTAAAGCGTCTGTTTGAAGTCTTGCCCTTTGATATGTCTAAAATAAAAATATATTTATGGAAAAGTTTATACCATCTTTAAAAGTTGGACATAAGTAAAGATTCTGCTATCTGTTCTCTTTAAAAGAAAGAAGGAAAAAAAACATGTAATGTAGTCCAAGAATCTTATCTTTATGAATTGTTGTTGTTGTTGTTGTTATTGTTGTTATGTGCTGTCCAGTCAGCCCGACTCATAGCGACCCCTCCTTGGGTTTCCGAGGCAGTATCACTATGGACGTAGATTGCCCCACCTTCCTTCCGAGGAGTGGCTGGTGGGTTTAAACCGCCAGCATTCTGGTTAGCAGTCAAGTGCCTTAGGCACTATGCTACCAGAGTTGCTATCTTTATGAATTAGATAACTATATATACATTTATAGGAGCTCCGGTAGCGTAGTGCCTAAAGCACTTAACTGCTAACCAGAAGGCTGGCAGTTCAAACCCATCAGCCACTCCTTGGAAGGAAGATGGGGCAATCTACTTCCGTAGGGATACCGCCTAGGAAACCCAAGGAGGGGTCACTATGAGTCGGGTCCAACTCGACAGCACATGACAACAACATACATATTTATATATATAATATACATATTATTTCTCGTACTTCGGTTTATAAATATTTCATATATATTTTCTCAGTTGGTATTCACAACAATCCTATGAAGTAATCAGAGCAAATCTTTTTCCAGGATCTCATTTAGTAAGTGAGGACAGACTCAAAATAATGTTGACTCCTAGAGCTCTTCCAAGCACACTGTGAGCCACTGAGGTCTTTCAAGAAAGAGTAGCAGTGAGAATAAAGCCTAGAGGGCCTCACTAAAATCCTACGTAATGATTCTCATAATAGCACCAAGATGTTTTTCAAAGAGAAACATGGTAAAGTATATGGGCTATGGTATTACATGCTAGCCATGCTTTGAAAATTTTTGTGAAGTACTCATTTTTCACACTGGAATAGATTTCATTCATTCCTCTAACAATTTCTGCTCAAACTAAAAATGTTCATTTTTCTCCTATTAAATGTGCCTTGATCATGCCCGTCCTTCAGGACTGAGAATTGAGAGTGCAAGGTGAGGCAGGCACCTTGGTATGCCTCAGGTAGCACTTTAATGGTAGCTGGAAGTGAGGTCTTTGGCATCCGATCTCATACCAGCATGAACATGGCCAATCTCGTCCAAATTCCAACTCTCATTTATTTTAGTCACTGTGTGTCCTTCAGCAAACATAGAACATCACTGCATCTCAACTTCCCCATATGTAAGATGAGCATCATAGGATCTCACAGGAATTTCATAAGGATTACATAGTAATGTAAGGATTACATAGAGATTTATATGAAACTCTACATAACCAGTACCCTGCACAGCAGTGCTCCAAAATGGTAGATGTGTTATTCTTACTGGCAACAAGGCTTATTCTCTACATTTTATATTCTTTTCTTAACTGGGACCCAGAAAGAATACTGAGCTTTTATCCCCAAAACCAACCCTAGATCAGGGAATAATATAAAGGCCAATGAAAATAGAACCTTCTGTATAATATAAAGTCTCAGGGAGTTTCAAGCAACTGAAAATTTCAGGAGGAAATTTTATCCTCTTCACCCGGTTCTTCTCTGTTTTGCTTTGATATATTTGTCACTACCAGTGAGAGATTAGTGGTAGAGGGAAACGTACTTCCTCAAATTCATTGTTGGTACCACAGAAGAAAATTATTAAACCTTATTCTTTCCATAAAATTGTTTCTACTACTGATCCAAGAAAACAATTTCCCCATTGAGAAGTAATATTCATGGTGTTATTAACAATAATAAATAATAAACATTATTATAATAAAGTTGTCTTTTAATGGCTAGACAATAATAAGTTGTCTTTTTTTATAGCTTCCTGCAAAGAATACAAATTGGAGCGTAACTTATAGGATGTACATTTTTAGCTTTATAGGTAACTGTATAAGGCTGTCAAATTTAGATAAAGATGCTTCCTGTTTACTTCCCCTCCTTTAAATCCTTAATCCAGGAATTAGAGATCTTCAGAATTATCAAAACAAACTTTTTAGATATTGATGAGAGCGTCTAAGTGAATCAGATTTCTAGAAATACTTGCCCTTTGCAACATCACTAGGTGGCAGTGGTTGGTAAAGACTGAGTGCACAGTAATGTAATTAGCAACGAAGCCATCACAGATGCCAGTGAGCACTGAGGAGTCTCATGCAACCTGTCAGACAGTCATTTTGTGGAGCAGATGGTCAGTGGGTTGTGTGGGCCTATTAGACCTGAATTAATTGATGGAATAAATGAGTGGAATGAAAGATATGAACCTTTGCTTAGTAAAAGAATAATTTGAAGAGTGGACTATCATCTCACCACCTCAAGTCAAGATGGTAATAAAAACTAAAAGCTGTATTCAAACAAGATTCAGAAAGCTTTCTACTGCTCCTTTTGTATACCACTGATAGATAATTCATCTCATTTTCCCTCAGCTAAAGAAGCACACAAACCCCCTGTGTTTATCGAGAAGCTGCAAAACACAGGAGTTGCTGATGGGTACCCAGTGAGGCTGGAATGCCGTGTTTCAGGAGTGCCACCACCTCAGATATTTTGGAAGAAAGAAAATGAGTCACTCACTCACAGCACTGACAGAGTGAGGTGAGACGACACAATGATTTCACCTAATCCCGAACTGCCCACTCCTAATGATGTATCAAAAAGATAACATACATAGCAAGCAAATCTGTGTATGTGAAAGTCATGATATTCATGTTAAAAACAAACCATCCATTACCCTAACGTATGATTTACTGAGAAACACAAGCTTTGACAAGCACATTCTGACTTAATGTAATGGTGGTTGGTTGGGGTTTTGTTGTTGTTGTTTTTTAAGTATTTATCTTTGTATCTAAGGAAAAGTTGAATTCAGTTGTTTCCATGATGATAGAAAAACCATTCAGTGGTTTTTATAAAGGCAGATCCTTGACTAGAAATTAAGTGCGTAGATTTATTCAACCTCTTGACATCTGTTCTTCTCTCCCATTAACATTAATGGGGCTAGCAGCCTCTCTAGAATAAGTATGAACCTATTATCTGCTACTTGCACAATTCGGTTTCTAATGATCTAATTAAAAATGATGCTTCATGTCCAGAGCCACTTTTTAAAAATTTAGAACCCTAATGACTTTATCCTTTTCTCTAGCATGCATCAGGATAATCATGGCTACATCTGCCTGCTCATTCAGGGAGCCACAAAAGAAGACGCTGGGTGGTATACTGTGTCAGCCAAGAATGAAGCTGGGATTGTGTCCTGTACTGCCAGGCTAGATGTTTACAGTGAGTGCCACTTCACTTCAGCTCCGTGCCTTTATTCACTGAATTGTATACAAAAAAAAAAAAAAGAAAGAAAGAAAGAAAAAAGACATATGGGCAGCAAATCATGTTGCTCTTGTATAATCTTTTAAGTAACTGTAGTGTTTTATTTGCTAAAAGTTTCATATTGCTCTCTCTCTTTCTATTTATAGTTTCTCAACACTAATAGTGAACCACACCAGGAGAACAAATACCCAAGTATCCTCAGGAATTTTGAATTATTAGCAAACTATGCATGTTGATTTCTCTTACTTTGGCTAGTCAGTTGTGGCTTCCTTACTCAAGCATCCTTAGGAGTTAACAGTAGGCAAAGGCATAACCATTTGTTTTTCACATTTTCTTGTTTCTGTGTTCTGCAAATGACTGCCTTTTAACCTTTCTTCTTATATTATAATCCTATCACAGTGTCCTAATGCACTCGAAATGTGTGTACTGTGATGCTAGAATGCATACTTTTGTGGCTTAGTGCTTTTGTCATCAGTATATCTTAAGCAGTTTAGCAGGTTTGTGTCTGTGTATGTGTATTTATGTACATGTATCCTAAATTTAAAGAAAACTGCTCCTATTGAATTTACAAACTAAGACAATAGCCCTTTGCAAACCATAGACATAAAAAAGAAAACAAAACTAGAAAAAATAAAAGCTAATTTCAAATTTTATATCTTCATGAGTAAGAAATACTTCTGTGAGGGTTTTCAAGAAATGAGTGACCTCAGCCTTTCCTTACTGCCTAATTCCTTTCACTTGGTTAGTGTTAAAACAACTATCCCTAATTTTTATGGCATTTATAGATATTGAGCCTTTGAAGAAAATGAGATTTTAGTGATGGGAAAAAGGATGACAATTAGGAAGTGTAATGACTATTTCAGAGGATTCCTTGTGCTACAGCATTTGCTTAAAAATAAATTATGTGTTGTCTTTACTATCTAGCTGTTACAGTTTCACTACCCCGGTCAGGTAGTAAATCTGCAATATGTAGAGTAAAACGCAAAAATATCCCTAAATGTTCCTACCATGGATATGTCCATTCGATCTTTTGCAAAGAACATGTGCCTGGTATATATCAACAGAGGTCCCTACGTGGTACAAAGAGTTAGATGCTTGACTACTAGCCAAAAGTTTGGCAGTTTGAACCTACCCAGAGGTGCCTGGGAAGACAGGGTGATCAGCTTCCAAAAAGTCACAGGCTTCACACCCTATGGAGCAGTTCTCCTCTGCACATGAGGTTGCCATGAATCAGAACAGACTCAGCAGCAACTGACAACAACAATATATCAAAAGACATTCTGTATTTATTGAAACTCAGTAAGGGCTTTCCAGTAGTATCTTGGTTAAAAATCTCAATTTACTCTTTCTTCTTTGTAGCCCAGTGGCATCAGCAGCCACAGAGCACCAAGCCAAAAAAAGTACGGCCCTCTACCAGTCGCTATGCAGCACTTTCGGACCAGGGACTAGACATCAAAGCAGCGTTCCAACCCGAAGCCAACCCATCTCACCTGACACTGAATACCGGCTTGGTGGAAAGTGAGGACCTGTAATCCAACATTCTTGTTACAGCTGAGACACTGATACAGCCTTTTTGCCTTGATCAGCATATTCCTTTGTCACATTGTAAGAGGCAGAAACAAACCTTTGACTATAAGAAATTTTTAAAAAAAACCACCAAAATAATATTCTTCTTACTTGATATACCAAACTTAGAGTTTAAGAAGGTGATACTAATAGAAACGTACACACTGCACAGAAAATTCACATTCATCATCCAATTTAAAACTTTTAGAATTGCTGTGATTTAAATGGTCTGAAATGCCAAAATGCTAAAGGAACTCAATTGTGCGAAGGTAACCACAATTTGTATTATCAGTAAGTGCCTTCAAACACAAGCTATAGGTGCTATGTAGCATGATAAAATGAAATGCTTAACATGAGGCAATTGTACAACAAATAATACTAAAATGATTCTAAAGTGGGAGTATATCCAGACAGCTACAGTGAAACAAGTGCAATATGTAAGGATGAGAAAGGAAAAAGAAATCCAAGTAAATGCCTTGTCTTTACAAATTGTTTTATATAAATCATAAGGAAGGAACTATTTGCCTTAAATTTCATGGATACCAAGACTTTTCTAACAAAGTTAATACCTACATTCTTAACTTTTTTTTCTTTATGTGTAGAATTTTCTTTTCATGCTACCTTGGTAGGAAGCTTATTTACAAACCATATTAAAAGGCTAATTTAAGTATAAGTAATATAAAGTATTCTGAATAAAGCAGAAATATATGACTGTCCATTCCACGAAAGGCATCCAAACCACCCAGATGACCAAGGCATGTAGTATTTGGAGGAAACAAGGGCTTGGAAGGGGAATAGGGAGGGCAATGAAGGAAAATGCTAGCAGCCCAATTATACTGTATTCATTTAGATCAAACGAGAAGGGCCAAGCTTTTCTTTGGTTTTCTTCAAAACCAGTCTAAAATGTAAATTAAAAAAAAAGAAAAACACTGCCATTTACAAGTCAAGGAATCCATGGTCAGCTGGAAATTTGGAGCACGTGTGCTATGGAAATTTCAGTGTGTCTGAAGTTTGTGTAGTAGTTGAAGATTTTAGATGTGTAGAGCAAGTTGAAAATGGATTGAGACTGCAAGATTGACCTGAATGAGGACCTAGTTTACCTGAGGGAAATGAAGACTTAAGGAGAGAGAAAAACAGGTTTGTGCCTGTTTTTTTTTTCCAATGGCATCAAGATATGGTGAATGGAAAATACTAGTTCATGTCCCTGCTGCCATGAAACCTTGCTGTAAAAAGGTGCTGGGTTCTGAGCAGTTTGTAGTGGTGTCTTAGCCAAGACTGCTTTTTAAATGCCGATGATTCTGCATCAGCTAGATTGAGTTGATTCTGACCAGACTTGATGGTTTTAAGTCGGAACCAATAAATCTTAAAAAGGAGAAAAAAATAATTTGGCCTAATATTATAAAACATGAGGCTTTAATGGTACTTTGTTATGAAAAGAGAACACTGTATTTCTTATGCAAAACACATATACCTTTCATTATTTATACTAAAATTGTCAAACTCTTGTAGCTCACTTACTCAATTCAATATGTAGTGTGTGTTTTTTTTTTAATAATTTTGTATCTGTGTACCACCCTATATATTTCCTATTACTGCTTCACATGTACAGCTTTCTACTTCTTTGTAAGAACACCAACCAACCATGTTTTAAATGATTAATAGGCTTAAGCACTGGGTGGCAGATGTTCTATGCAGAGTGGTACAAGTTTCTTTGGCCACAGTTACATGCATTGCTGATAGGAATTTAAGATACCATACAAAGTCTCTCACGGGCCTATCTATATTATAGTATTATGACTGATGTCATATCTTATTTGCCAAATTTTTCTGAATGTGACTTGCTAATTTGCTGGGTTTGGGATTAACTAGCATTATTTTGCCACCTTTTATGTGTATTTATATTAAAAAAAAAAAAGTACTATCATACTTCTTTGGATTGTTGTGCTGGTGTAATGTGGATTTAACATCAATAAATATTTAACAAATAATAGTTATAATTTCCTGAAGCAGAGTATTCAGTTGTCTTAATTTTTTGTTGCCATAACAAATTAGTACAACTTTAGAAGCTTAAAACAATGCTCATTAGCTCACAGTTCTGCAGGTCATATATTCAGGCATGATGCAATTGGGCTCTTCACTCAGAGTGTTACATGGGCTAAAATTAAGGTATCAGCTAGGCTGTGCTCTCATCTGGAGCTCAGGATCCTCTTCCTGCCTCAAGTTGTTGTGACAATTCAGTTCCTTGCAGTTGTAGGACTGAGGTCTCATTTAGTTCATTACCCAGAGGCTACTTTCATCTCTTAGAAGCCTCTTACATTCCTTACATGTGTCCCCTCCATTTTCAAAGCCTGCAACAGAGAACCTTTGTGTCAAATCCCTTTAATACTCTGAATCACTTTCACCAAGAAGGTTCCCATCCCTTTTAAGGCTTACCTGACTAGAATCATTTAATTTGGGACTTTAATTACATCTGGAAAATCCCTTCAAAGCACCATCTGGATCAATGTTTGATTAAATAATGGGGAGAAGGTATGTGTAGACCAGGTGGTGGGGATCTTGGGGGCCATCTTATAATTCTGCCTACTACATTAGTTTATCTTATGTATATGTGTAAATAAAGGGGCCTGGTGGCACAATCGTTAAGAGCTTGGCTGCTAATCAAAAAGTCGGTAGTCCGAACCCACCAGCAGCTCCATGGGAGAGAAGACCTGGTGTTCTGCACCCATAAAGATTACAACCTTATAGGACAGTTCTACTCTATCTTATAGAGTCACTATTGGGTTGCTAAGGGGCTCTGGTGGCATAGTGCCTAAGGCATTCGACTGCTAACCAGAGGTTCAAACCCACCAGCTACTCCACAGAAGGAAGACTGAGCAATCTACTTCCATAAAAATTTACCACCTCAGAAACCCAAAGGGGTCGCTATAAGTTGGAATCAACTCGATGGTACTGAGTTTGGTTTTTTTTTTTTTGGTGGGGGGGTGCATTGGGTTGCTATGAGTCAGAATCAGCTCGATGCATACAACAACATCTATAAATGTATACCAATGTCATGACTTACAAAGATACATAAAATACAGCAAGATGATACAATTAAAAATGAGAGAAAAGAAATAGAAATGATAAGGGCATACGTGGAACAAGGAATGAGCTTACAAACACATATACATATATACTTATTTCAGTATTTTATATAAGTAATTACAACAAACGGACAACATATTTAGCCCTGGGTTTCTTGCTACAGGAAAAAGGGTGAGACATAAAGCTGGTCATTTATGTAATTCACAGCTTCCATAAGATGAAAGTTCTTTATTTTTTACGTAAGCTATACGGTGGAGTTTTAAGGACCTCTGGTGACAGTGGTTAATGCATCTGGCTGCTAAACAAAATGTGTCTCTGTGGGAGACAGATGAGGCTGTCTGCTTCTGTAAAGATTTATAGTGTTGGAAACCCTGTAGGGCAGCTCTACTTTGCCCTATACAGCAGCTATGAGTGGGAATCAACTCCAACTCAGTGGGATATGATGGAAATTTAAGGATAAATTTGAATTAGACCGGCTAATTTCTTTCAGGTTGTCCTCCACACCCCCATGACTTATTCATTGCTATGTAGTTTACAGGAGCTCCGGTGGTGTAGTGGTTAAAGCATTCAGCTACTAACCAAAAGGTCAGTGGTTTGAACCCACTAGCTGCTCCACAGAAGAAAGGTGAAACAATCTCCTTCTGTAAAGATTTACAGCCTTGGAAACCCAATGGGGGTCACTATGAGTCAGAATCGACTTAATGGCAGTGGGTTTGGTTTTGTTTGATTTTTGTAGTTTATAACATCCGTTATATATTTTAATGGTGAGACAATCAGCTAGAGACTACTGTATCATGAGCTGGCATTCTGTTTGATTGTACTATGGCCATGTGTAGTCTATTGATGAACCCATCAAAGGTACTCCTCATTTACGTTACCGTATTTTTTATTTCTAGCATTTTCTTTTCTTTCTGAGTTTTCCTCTCTCTGATTAAATTACCCAGCTGCTCTTGCTTGTTGTCTACTTTTTCCATTAGATCCGTTAGCATATTAACCATAATTATTTAAAATTTTCAGTCTGATAATTCCAAAATCTTTGACATATCTGTTCTGATGCTTATGTTGTCTCACCAAACTATTTTTTTTCTCTTGCCTGTTTAGCATGTTTTGTAATTTTGTTTGTTGAAAGCTGAACATGATGCATTGGGTAGCAGATTGTTTGTTGTAGCTGTCATTGCCAGAGGCTAAAATTTCCTCTGGTGTCCTTGTGTTATCATTGGTTGTTCCTAGAAACTCCTTAAACAGTGTCTGTGTTTTGCAACTCGTTCCATTGTAATCCACTGCTGTTATGTTGGAGCCCTGTTAATTGGTGGTATTGAGGAGGCAACATGTTCTTATGATTACATCTCAGTTTGGTGGCCTGAGTCTATATAGGTTGTGACCTTCAGAAGAGTTTCTTAGCCTTTATTTTTCCCCATCATGTGACACAGATAGGCCAAAAGGGGCTGAATTGTCTCACTGTCCTTCCCATACGTCAGACAAGGCTCTAGTTTAGTAGTTTCCCTTGAAGGCAGGTGTTTGTCACTGAGAATGCTCTAGACATACTTCAAAATAGTTCCTTTTCCTATCCCTGCTGCTGGAAGTATCATGGCATTTTTCTCTGATCTTCATCCTAAGAACTTGATGGGGTTCTTGAAGGTAACTCATGTGTGTGGGCCCCCTGTGAGACTGGGTCTCCAGGAGTTTTTCTCTTGCCAACTATTTACACACACACACACACACACACGCAACAACAACAACAACAACAAAAACCTACTGCCTTCAAATCAATTCCAACTCATAGTGACCCTATAGGACAGAACAGAACTGCTCCAAGATTTACTGCTGTAAATATTTTCAGAAACAGACTGTGGTGTCTTTTTTCCACGGAGAGGCTGGTGGGTTCTAACCATGGACCTTTCAGTTAGCAGCTGAGCATTTTAACCACTGTACCAACAGGGCTACTATATCCCATACGCAGTCTCCTGCAGTTCATGAATTATCATTTAAGTGCCCCTTCCATTTCCTAGCTCCAGCAGCTTCTGTTCCCAGAAAGCTGTGATTCTGTTTTTCCAAGTCTCTAGTTCTTGGGACCTCAATTCTCTGATGAATATAAGAAGAGCTGTTGATTTTTAGTTTATTCAGCTTTTTTGTTGTCGTGAGGACAGAAGTGAAAAGTTCCAAGCTCTTTAATACTCAAAGTGGATACCAGAAATCTGTATATTTTTTATTTTAATACACATAAAAATCTAGGACTTTCATGATTTCACCCTCAACTTCAGTATTTTCTACATAAGATCTTAAGTTCCTCAACAACAAACTAAATCAAACCCACTGCCATTAAGTTGATTCCAACTCATAGCGACCCCCATAGTGTTTCAATGGGTGTAAATCTTTACAGAAGCAGACTGCCTCATCTTTCTACCGTGGAGCAGCTAGTGGATTCAAACAGCCAATCTTTTTGGTTAGCCAAATGCCTTACAATGGCACTATCAGAGTTCCTTCATAGAACAGAACTGCCCATAAGTTTTCCAAGGCTTTATGGAAGCAAAATGCTTTATCTTTCTCCTATGCAGTGGCTGGTGGGTTCAAACTGTTGACCTCCTGGTTAGCAGCCAAATGCCTTACCCACTGTACCACAGAGCCCCTTCTCAACAAGAGGTAGTTTAATCATGAACTTGCACAGTGTATTTGTAATTCTTCAAAAGAAAAAGACTTTGAAGAATTCAATAGAAAAAGCACACGGGTAATTCTTTTGGTGTTTATAAAATAAAGAACTGGACAAAATGATGTTAATATGATCATGCTTCAAAAGTGGAACAGAATTTATACGTATTCATTTATATTCCTATGTGGTTCTAGGTCTTGTTTAACTTGCTTGCTAACTCCATAAACGGAGGCTGACAAGCAAACTAAAACCAGGAAAATCAATTATAAACCTGTATTGTTCACAGCATGTGACACTTCAGGTTTCACCTACAGCATGAGACATTTTGTTTTATTCATATTCATTGGTCTCTATTTTTAAATTGTATCTAGTTAAAGAGCTTGCCTACTTCCCTAGAAATAACTTCATGTTAACACTAACCATACTTTCACTAGATTCCTTCTTTGAGTAATGTCAAGGGCCTGGTTAACTCTTACATTAGAAGTTCTCAAAGTGTGATTCCCAGACCAGCGGGAAACTTATGAAAATACAAATTCTTGAAACTTACCCCGGACCTATTGAGTCAGAATCCAAAGGAGGGACCAGCATTCAGAGTTTTCGCAAGCCCTCCAGGTGATTCCGAAGCGCACTAAAGTTTAAGAACCACTGTTTTAAAAGGGTCAGGTGTTCTAATTCCCTCCCTGCTCAGTTGATTCTGAGATCGGTACTTAACATGTTCTCAGAGAATCTCGGTAGAGCTGGTAAATAATCTTCCTTCAGAAGAGACAATGGGATATGCACACAGTTCTTTGTAATCACCTGATGACAAGAACAGACTTTCGAGACAGTATGTATAAGGTTTTCACTGTCCACATTTTTCAGAAGTGAATGGTCCCATCCTTCTTCTCAGTCTGTCTTAGTCTGGTAGCTCTGCTGAAGCCTGTCCACCACAGGTGACCCTGCAGGTATTTGAAATACTTGTGGCATAGCCTCTATCCTCATAGCAACATGCAAGCCACCACAGTACAACAAACTGACAGATGAGTAGTGGACTTCTATGATAGAGTCCCTAAAAGACTCCACAATTAGGGGTACTTTGTACCTCTGTGGCAGTCCCTTAGTAGCAGTCAGGAATAGCATTCCAACAAGGCTCAAGAAAAAGGCAGCTAAAATAGTGCTTCTCAAAGTACGTTGTGGAACATTTGAGGTTCCCAAGATCCTCTCAGAGGGTGAGTGAGGTCAAATCTATTTTCAAAATAATATTGTGATGTTAAATCTCAACATAAGACTATGCTGTTTTCTGCCTTTTCA